GGCGACGTCAGGAAGAGCATCTGTCATAAGAAACGGGCCAATCAAAGCGATGCACTGTAGTGACTCTAGTGAACAAGGAAGCTGTTAATGAACGTGCTTTCATTTTCAGCCAATAACTGTAAAGTACTCGAGTCTCGTGTCTGAGGCAGAACAAGACTGAATAGCTGAGCTGTCCCTGATGTTTGCGAGCACGTCTGCTCACTGTGCGTAGACCAGGGTTGATTACGAGCTGCTGAACTTTATCCTGACATGTTGCTCCTTCGACCTGCTCAGCATCTGCTCTTCTGCAATCATGCAGCTTTTTTTCATAGCAGCCAAACACTCCAGCGTCTCGTTTGTCTGATTGGCCCTTGAGCTGTGGAGAGCAGCTAATCAGGGGAGTGATGTGCTGTTCTGTTGGAGAGGAAACGCAGCAGGCCTCGCTGAATATTGCTCTAATTAGCATCTTCCTGCCACAGATGTTTACAACGGTCAACACAAAACAAAAGCTTGGAGCGGGCTGCCAAAGGGTAATTTGGTCAATGATCGTGGTAAGAATATGTTTGGGGCTCTAAATGAATTGTTGTCGTTTAGTTTGATTACTGCTGTACTTTGTACTTTTGATACTCGCACATCTCTGGACCTTAGAAGTGACTGATGTCATAAAATCAACAAAACTAATTTATTAAGTTTCATTAACTATGACTCAGATTTCTTTCATATAAAGAGATGAAGGAGTTTGTCCTGTTAGAGGCAGACGTTCGTAGACTAGACCAGCGGTCCCCAAACCCCGGGCCACGTTTTGTTGTATTTATCTGCGACACTTTAAAGGCCGGTCTGTGACAATATTGTCGGACATAAACAGACCGGCCTTTAAAGTGTCGCAGATAAATACCACAAAATAAAAACCAGTACCGGGCCGTGGCCCGGGGTTTGGGGACCGCTGGTCTAGATGATAAGTACTGTTGGCTAAAATTGGATGAAGAGTTCCAGGACAAAACTTTGACTCACAGCTTTCAGTTAGTCGGTGCACGCTATGCTGTGTTAAATGAAGCACAAGTCCAAGTAAACTGTGCTGCAAACCATAGGAAGTCACGTTTCTTTGATTCGATGAATACACACCTTCCAGCATTTTCCTGAAACAGACGATAAGCAGTGAAGCCAGCCTCCCATCAGCAAAGCTGCACGCCAAAGCTGGTGCACATCAGCAAAGCTGCACGCCAAAGCTGGTGCACATCAGCAAAGCTGCATGCCAAAGCTGGTGCACATCAGCAAAGCTGCATGCCAAAGCTGGTGCACATTTATTTCCAAAGAGGAGTGAGCGCTCACATGATGACTGAACTGTGACTCGTGGAGATTAGCTCCTCTCACTGATGCTGCACAGCAGCAACAAACATTGACTCCTCAGCAGTGCACCTCCTGCGCTTGGCGTGCTTCAGATGAACGGCTGTCGAGAACACAGACACGGGGAGATGAACACAGACGGGTGCTTGTTGTGCTTTGATTTCAGTAACCAGTACAGCAGAGGAGGCAGCATTTGTTGTGCACCTGATGTGTTGTGTTGACCTGCAGGTTTACTTTCCTGAGCACGCGAGGGGCAGGATAGACCTGTTTGACCTACTTCCTGACGTTAGACCTGCGGACCACGTAGGTCGTCGTCTCAGTCAAAGCTCCACGTGTCCTAAATCGAGCAGCTTCCTGTCTGTATGAACTCAGCCATGATTAAAATCCTCTGTCTGCTAAGCGCACGCTTCTTTGTGCTGAATCAGTCGACTCATGTCGAGCTTTGAAGCAGTAACTTGAATACTGAGCAGGGATCAATGATGACGGGTGCAATTATAATTAAGGTGCAATTATACTGATTGTTTTACTAGTTTGTCGTGATTATGAGTCTAATGAACCAATGTTTTTATTACTGTCTGCATCTCGTATCGACATCTCGAAACGCCGTGATCGAAAGAAATATCTGCTTCCTTTAATCACGTGAACAAACGAATCTGATCTTTTATAATTATGAATGATCATCTTCAGCTGCAGCAGATGGTCAGCTGGTCAATGAGCAGCGTAGCAGGTTGATGTTCAGCCTCATCGTTACATCACAGGTTCAGTTTTCTCGCAGGTGCTTGTTTCTGTCCTCCTGTCTCTCTGATGCTCCCACAGCAGCCAATCACCACGCAGTGCAGCATGAACAGACTTCAGGTTTGAAGCGGACCGAGCTGATTGGCCCCTGATTGCATCTGGAAATCAGCTTGAAAAGCCTTCAGTGCTAATTAGCAGCTTTGAGATGTTTTATCTGAAGTCACATTAACTTTGCTTTTTTAATTCCAACCCTGTCGCAGAGTCTGCCGCGCATCGTCGTGCAGTCGGCCAGCGTTGAAGAGGACATGAGCAGACGGCAGCAGGCGGTGAGTCCTCAGCCCCGCCCGCATGGTGTTACACTGTGGGTGCTCTTTCAACACATCGTGTAGATCTGTTCTTCCAAACATGGAAAACTGATCAAAGATCGGAGTGGAGGGTATTCAGTAATGCCGTCTGTGTCAACCGAAACTCGCCGTGGTACAAAAACGTTGGATGAAGTTATAAAAAGCCGGCACGGCTTCTGGCAGCGCTGTTGGTCTTTTTAGACGTTTGTGTTACTTTGAAAACACGACAAGTTCACCTGACCGTCCTGTGCACGGTAACAGGACTGTGATTATATGGGATACACTCATTTTTAATACCAGTAACATCTGCTGGTCATTGTTATTCAAACATTTCTGCTGCTCCAAGTACAAAGACTGTAGGATAACAATGATGCAGCTTCCATGTTTAAAAAGGGAAACTAAGGGCAGGTCGGCCTCGTGACTGACAGGTAGGTTGTTCAGTCAGATCCTCAGAAATGGTGACAAACATTCATCCTGAGCTTGACTAACCAGGAGCTGGCACTAGGTTATGATCAGGAATTGGAAATGAATTTGTGGCAATTCCATTTTTGGAAACTGTCAAATTTTAAAGACGCTCTTTGGCTAAAACCACGTTTCTATGGTTTGCCTCCAGGTCCCCATTGCTGAAACAGAAATCCCCAGATCTGTGCCTCTTCCACCTCCAATCATCCCAGAAACTGAAGACTCCACCACCAGTCCAGTGAGCGAGGCTTCCAGTGGATACATGTCAACAAGCATATCTACAGTAACGCTGTCAGACGTCTACACGCTGAGCTGGGACTTGCCTTCGTCATACGGTAGCAGGGATGGCTTTGAAACTGTGCTCGATGAGCACGAGGAGGAAAATGTTGTGACGCAGAAGTTCTCTCCTTTCTCTGACGCCACACAAGCTCTTATTTTAGACCAATCAGGGCCTCAGAAATTACTGAGACAGAAAGCAGATGCAGAGAGTACGGAGCAGGAGCCATCTGAACCAGATGTTCTGCCGAGTCAACAAGAACCAAATCAGCTCCTATCAGACCAGTTAAAGGAGGCCGAAAAATCTGATCCAGCTGCAGAATTGCCAGACGAGACCGAACAAAAACAGGACCATGGATCAGAGCAACGAGATCCTTCAGAGGTGGCACAAAAAAATGGGACCAAGCAGACAGAAGTTCTCCATGTAGACCACAGCGAACCAAAGACTCCTTCAAGAGAAGATCTCGAGGTGGCCGCCACAAATAAAGGAGAATGTGAACTGGCGTTTTCTAATGAGACGCAACGATCTGCTCAAGAAGGAGAGAGTTTGGAATCAACCGTCCTGCAACCCCAGCAGCGCACACAAGATCAGACGGCTCCAAACGTTATTCAAGATGCTTCTCCAAGTCCTGATCCAGGACCGCCTGTAGACCTGGCTGCTCAAGCTTCATCCAAGCAACAGTCAACCTCTGATGTTCCAGAAACAAATGGTGCCTCCTTCCTACCCTCATCCTCGACCGGTGAGGTTCAGCAGCCAGCAGCTTCGGTCAAACCTGCCAAGGGCCCCATTTCTTCTCCCAAATCAGGTCCCTCAGCAGCTAACCCCTTCAAGATCCAGAAAGTGAAGTCTTCAGACCTCAAGTCATTTCTGCAGATTCTGACTGAGGAGGAGCATGACACCCCCACACTGGTGAACCAACCCTCGAGTTGTGGGACAGGACCCAACCTTTCATTGCCGAAGGAAAGTCTGGAAATCATCTCTGACACGGAGGATGGAGATACAGCTGCTTCTGCTGTTCTTCCCGAGTGGTTGAAAGAGGGGGAGTTTGTGAGTGTGGGGGCTAATAAGAGTGGTACGGTGCGATATTTGGGACCCACAGATTTTGCAGAGGGGACTTGGGTTGGAGTGGAACTTGAAGTACCAGCAGGTAGGTTTAGATCAGACCCAACACCTTTGATTCATCTGATCTGTTCTCATCCTTCATGGACATGTATGCACTGCCAGTTAAAACCTCGTTATTGTGTTTTCCTCTTTCTTTCAGGAAAGAACGATGGGTCAGTGGCTGGAAAGCACTACTTCCACTGCAACCCTGGTTACGGCGTGTTGGTAAGACCTGACAGAGTAACCCGTGGCGATGCCAAACGCCATCGCCAGCAACAAAAACGTCGTAGTGCCCATCTGTCGGGGTCCAGCCCAAACCTGGCTGCCCTTACAGCTCTGGCTAAAGGCGAAGGTGGAGCTGGATCAACTGGTCGCGGCAGGGGGGAGAACCGCAAGTCGTGGCACACTTAAATGGCTCATTGCTGGGCATCGCCAGCACATCACTGTCCATATGGGAGCTTAAGCCTACTGGCACCGCGGTATCTGGTTTACTTTAGACCGATTTGGTTTGACAGTAAGTTTGGACGAGTCGCTCCACGCGCTCATGTCTGCAGGATGATTTTTGGCTTTTTCTGCTACAGGACTCCTGTGTGACAGACTTGGCAGACATCGGATGTTTGATCTGAAAATGTGAATGCTTTTAGATACTTACACGCTAACCTTTTATAAATGTATTTATTCAAAAGACATTACATTGTAATCAAAGCACTGCGACCTGTATATGTCGTTTAAGGAAGCAAGGGTACACATGAAGTACGCTACAGACGGACTCACAGGAGGGCCCCCCCCCCCCAAAGGCTAGCCGATTTCTTTCTCGTGCAGTCCCAAAGATAAACAAATATGAGCGCAGACATCCAGATGTGTTTTGTAATGTATGACTATATGGTGTCCTATTATTCTTGTGCCTTGAAATGCCTTGGACACGTCCCACCGCACTGTGTAGGAATAAAGGGATTATTCTGATGTGTGATGTTAAAATTATTGCACTCGTCAAAAATGCTACTGCTGGAGTTTTGCAACAGTTATAAATCTATATTTTCCTCTTCCTGTCAAGCAAATGCAGGAATCTGCATTAGTTTCACGTGAGGGTGTTTGAGAACGTGACTTTCCCTGTTTGTGCTGCAGTCTGTTTGGTGAGGATTGTGTTGGTTTTAATGTTAGTTTTTGTGCGGAAATGTGTTTTTTATACATTTGCATTTAAAATGATCAAGTTTGAATGTTTGTTTAAAGATCAACTTTTTATAAGTGATAATAAATCAATTTAATTCTGCTCGGTGTGTGTGTGTGTGTGTGTGTGTGATAAACAGTGGTACAGCTTTATTCTCTGGTACATTATGTACTCATTTTGAGATTAGAAAATCTTTTACGACGATGTCCTGGTAAAAGAGATTACATAATTACTGCATCATCTCTATTGGGTTTTATTAGGATTTTTTTTTTTTTATCAGTTACAGTTACACAAATCCATAGCTGTAAAACTCATTGCAACTAGCTTGACTGAACATCTGTCACAACCAAAAAAGACGCCGTCTGCCATTGTCAGGTTTTTCACTGCACTAGCCAAAGCCATCACCAAGCCGTTTAAACGCACAACTTGAAATGGTGGCTTTGAACATCAACTTAGTGTTCATCTTTTTTCTTTCAGACCAATACCTAAATACATAACATCAAAAATGAGAAGTGGATTCGAGTCCCCTGACCAGTCTCGGCAGATGGCCGCCCCTCTCTGAGCCTGGTTCTGCCGTAGTAAAGGGACCTCTGGCTAATACGGTGGGTTC